CCCAGTTTCTGATAAACTACTGTTGTTGATAAACAGTCCTTCTAATACCAGTCTTCAGTCTACTGCTCCCGGGAACACCCATCTAACTGGATTTACAGCTAAAATATCGACAGTATTTATTAAATATTGAAATTAAAATGGTGTTAATCCAAACTAAGTAAACTTTTTTGTTAGTGACTGAGCATAATGGTGTTTTTGCAGTTTCTACAAATGTAATATTCAAATGTATAAGTGGTGCTGTGAAACCATGTTTTTGTGTCAGTTTCATAAGGTCCAACTTAATAATATCCTTTCTGATAGAACAGAAAGTTCAATCTTTTGTCTAACATGTTTGGCAAAAGTTGTCTTTATTACTGATAGTTCAGAAAATTGTTTGCTAACAGATCTGCTTTATAAAAAATAGTACAGGGAATCTTCTAGGCTGCATGAAAGGATAGTAGAGAGTTACTTGAACCAAATGAGTTAATAAAAACCACAGGTAAATGCAACTACATAGGTAAATATGAAAGACCGTATATATTTATATTTGTAACTTTTTTCACTCATCTGACTTAAACAAATGAATTGAGTAATAATTTTTTGTTATAATACATTTTCTTTCCTGTAATGGCTTTTTAATTCTTGCATTAAGTCAATTTTAGAAGTGTTTATGGACATACAATGCATAGATACATAATTTGTAACAACACAAAGGAAGGGGGAGGAAATGGAGCTACCCAGTAGCCAAGTATTTAGAAAATATTGAAATTAAGATGGTATTAATCCAAATTAGATTATTTTAAATTAAGATATTAATTGTGTGGGGTGGCTGGGTGATAGACATTGGGGAGGGTACGTGCTATGGTGAGTGCTGTGAATTGTGCAAGACTGTTGAATCACAGATCTGTACTTCTGAAACAAATAATGCAATATATGTTAAGGAAAAAAAAAGATAGCAGGAGGGGAAGAATGAAGGGGGGAAATAGGAGGGGGAGACGAACCATGAGAGACGATGGACTCTGAAAAACAAACTGAGGGTTCTAGAGGGTAGGGGGGTGGGGGGATGGGTTAGCCTGGTGATGGGTATTGAGGAGGGCACGTTCTGCATGGAGCACTGGGTGTTATGAACAAACAATGAATCATGGAACACTGCATCAAAAACTAATGATGTAATATATGGTGATTAACATAACAATAAAAAATTAAAAAAAAAGAACTAATGATGTAATGTATGGTGATTAACATAACAATAAAAATTAAAAAAACCTAATGATGTAATGTATGGTGATTAACATAATAAAAATTAACAAAAAAGATATTAATTGTGACCCTCAGAGCAACCATTAGGAAAATAACTCAAGGGTGCCTGGGTGGCTCAGCCGGTTAAGTGTTTGCCTTCAGCTCAGGTCATGATCTCAGGGTCCTGGGATAGAGCCCCGTATCGGGCTCCCTGCTCCATGCATGGAGCCTGCTTCTCCCTCTCCCTCTGCTGCTCCCCACTGCTTGTAGTCTCTCTCTCTCTGTCAAATAAATCCTTTTTTTTTTTAAAAGGAAAATAACTAAAAAAAATAAAGTAAAAGCAATGACCAGGAATAAAAACGGTACACTAGGAGCACCTGGGTGGCTCACTTGGTTAACTCTTGCCTCCTGATTTCAGCTCAGGTCATGATAATCAGTGTTGTGAGATCAAGCCCATGTCGGGTGGGGCTCCGTGCTGGGTGTGGAGTCTGCTTAAGATTCTCTCTCCCTCTCCTTCTGCCTTCCCCCAACCCTTTAACAAAATGGTACATTAGAAAATATTTATTTAACACAAAAGAAGACAGTAAAGGAGGAAGAGAGAAACAAAAAAGATATAAAATGTATGTAAAAGAGCAAAAGACAGTCATAAACTCTATCTTATCAGTAATTTATTTAACTAGTAAGTGCCTTCAACAGTCCAAACAAAAGGCAGAGATTGGCAAAATGGAATAAAAACACATGCTTCAACTACAGGCTATCTACCATAGACACACTTTACCAAGCCACAAATAAGATTGGTAACAAAAGGATAGAAAAAGATATGCCATGCAGACAGTAACCAAAATATAGCTGGTGTGGTTATACTATTACCAAAGTATACTTTAAGACAACAACTGTTATTAAGAGAGGAAGAAGGACATTTTTGTTTTCCATGGTGCTAACAGATGGCATAAAAGTTACCATTTTTAAGTGTACAGTTCAGTAGTGTTAAGTTACATTCACATTGTTGTAAAACATCTCCAGAACTTTTCTATCATGCAAAACTGAAACTCTATACCCATTAAACAACAACTCCCCTTTTCACCTTTCTCCCCCAGCCCTGGCTACTACCATTCTACTTTGTTTCTATGAATTTGTCTGCTGTAGATTCCTCGTAAGTGCAACCACAGTATTTTCCTTTTTGTGACTGGTTCATTTCACTTAGCACGTCCTCGCAGTTTATCCATGTAGTAGCACGACAGGATTTCCTTCCTTTTTAAGGCTGAATAATATTCCCTTGTCTGCATATACCACATTTGGTTTATGCATTCATCTGTCGATGAACGTCTGGGTTGCCCCCATCTCTTAGCTATTGTGAGTACTGCTGCTATGAACATAGGAACGCAAATACCTCTTCAATACTCTCCTTTCAATTCTTCTGGAGATCTTCCCAGAAGTAGAATTGTTGGATCATATGGCAGTTCCTTTTTTTTTTTTTTTTTAAGATTTTATTTATTTTCAGAGTGAGCGAGTGAGTGCACGCACGAGTAGGGGCAGGAACAGAGGGAGAAGGAAAGAATCTCAAGCAGACTCTGCACCAAACCCAGAGCCCAACCTGGGGCTCGATCTCATGACCCTGAGAGCATGACCTGAGCTGAAATCAAGAGTTAGATGCTAAACCGACTGCGCCATCCAGATGCCCCAATCATATGGTAGTTCTGTTGTTGATTTTTTGAGGAAACTTCATACTGTTTTTCATAGTGGCACCATTTTATATTCACATTAACAGTGCACAAGGGTTCTAATTTCTCTACAACCTCACCAACACTTGTTATTTTGTTTTTTACTGTTTCCATCCTAATGGGTGTTAGGTGACAAAGAAGGACATTTTATAATAATAAATCAATCAATCCATCAATAAGGTAAAATAATAAACTTGTACATGCCCAACAGTGCATGAAGCCCCAAAATATATGAAGGAAAACTGAGAAATAAAGGGAGAAATAAACAATTCAATAGTAATTGATGGAAACTTCAATACCCACTTTCAATACCAGATAGAACATTAGGTTAAAAGATCCAACAAGGACAGGAGACTTAATGCTAAAAATCAACCAGAACTACAAAACATCAAGAAAACACTCAATCCAACTAGAGCAGAATATACATTCTTCTCAAGTGCACATGGAACATTCTTCAAAATAGACCTTACATTCAGAAATAAAACAAATCTCAATCAATTAAAAAGGTTGAATCACAGAAGACTGCTCTCTGATCAGAAAAGAATGAAAGCCGTAAATCTTGACCTTGGATTAGCCAATGGCCTCCTAGCTATGATACCAAAAGCATGAGCAATAAAAGATAAAACAGATAAATTGGACTTCATCAAAATTAATAACTTTGTGCTTCAAGGGACACTATCAAGATAATGAAAAGGCAACCTATAGAATGGGAGAAAGTATTTTCAAATACTTTGAAAGAAAGTATTATCAAATATGTTTGATAAGGGACTTGTATCTAGAATATATAAAGGACTCTTACAACTCAGTAAGAAAAACACAACCCATTTTTTTAAATGGGCAAAAGATATGACATTTCTCCAAATTACATATACAAATTGCCAACAAGCACACGCAAAGATGCCTAATATCATTAGCCATCAGGGAATGTAAATCAAAACCACAATGAGATATCATTTCATACTCACTAGGAAGGCTATAATCAAAAACACAGACAATGACATTTGTTTGCAGGATGTGGGAAAATTGGAACTATTCTACACTTCACCCCTGGTGGCAAGTAAAATGTGTAGCTGCTGAGGGAAACAGTCTAGCAGTTCCACAAAAGGTTAAACACAGTTGCCGAACAAACCTAACAGTCCCTCTCGTGGGTATTACCCATGAGAACTGAAAACATATATCCACAGAAAAGCTTGTACACAAATAATCACAGCAGCGTTATCCATAACAGCAAAAAGTAGAAACCCAAATGTCCAGCAGCTGATGAATGGATAAACAAAAAAGAAAATATTACTCAACAAGAAACAGAACTATGCCACAACAGAAAACTTGAAGATTATGCAAAGTAATAGAAGCCAGTCACAGAAGACCACATACTGTATAATTCAATTATATGAAATATACAGACAAGGCTATAGAGTCATCAAGTAGATTAGTGGCTGCCTAGAGCTGAGGGAGGTGGGAGCAAATGGGGAGTGACTGCTAATAGGCACGGCTTTCTTTTGGGGTGATGAAAATGTTCTAAAATCACTTGTGGTGATAGATGCGTAAATGTGAATACTACAAATCATGAAATTGCACACTTAAATGGGTGAATTATATCTCTACAGAGCTCTTCCACTAAAGAATCGAAACACAATGCCAGCACAGTACCTTTCTTTAAGTTTTCCTTAGTGTAGAAGCACTGCGGGGAACAAGTGGGCATGTCCTCTCCCTTCTACATAAGTATTAACAGACAACGGGATACCTAAGGACTTTCTTGTGATTCTCAAACTTCTAAAGAATTAAAAAATAAATTATAGTAACAAACTCCCTCAAAAATACTGTGTCAGGATAAGAGAGGTATTTAATCTATTTACTGCAGATGAGCCAAACTTTATCTCATCTGACACAGATAATGAAGACTTAAAAGTGTTATGATCTATTTCTCACTTTTTAATTTTACAGGTTAATCCATATAGCCGTTTGCTACGAGTATGTACATATAAATGAGTATGTCAGAAAAAAACATGTTTTATAAGCCTTAATGTATGACACTGTATTTTGGTTTGAGATTGTTTTTACCATGTACAGATGAATCTTCATCAGCAAACAGATACGGTTCTATTTCTTTCAAGGAACTTCTACCTTCAAGTCGGCCAAGGAGCTTGCAAAAGAAAAAAAGAAGAAAAACTCATTACTTAAAAATATAAAATCTTAGAAATCTATATTTACACAATTTTCCAAAAGTCTATAAAAAAGACTAATTTAGTTTTGAGGATTTGGAGGAAATTACGAAACAGGAAAAATTATGTTCGTTTATTCAGAAAATATTTCCTTTTTTGTTTATGTGTCAAATACTGATGGCATAAAATGAGTTCCTGCCCCCAGAAGAACTGATAGTATAGTTTGGGAGATAGGGCCAAACTGCTAATTACAAAGTATTTACCCAATTTTCTCTCACTATACTTAATACACTTGTTATACATACACCAGCTTTTAATCTGTCTGCGAATTATACTGTCAATTCCTTATCTAGCAGTGGGAGGGGACAAAGGAAGAGTGGAGAAAAACTGCCCTTGAAGAGCTCCCTCCGGGATTTGTTCGGTGAACAGAGCACAGGTGACCATAGCCAGGGCGCAGAGGCTGTTACTCCGCATGTGGGTGAACCGTAAGCAGATTCACCTGCTAGAGCTTCTAGCACAAAACAGGAGATACAGAGGTGCTAAGAGCGCAAGTCAGATCACAGAAGGCCCTACATGCCATGTTTAGGGGCTTATTCTCTGGTTTGTAGACAAAAGCAAGGGATTGTAAGCTATGTAGTGAGAAGCAGTCTAGAACAGTTACAGTAGACAGTTGGGACTTCAGAACCAGACCTACTAGCTCCCTCCTCTGGGCCTCAGGTCTCTCGTCATTCAAGTGATAACAGAATCTCCCCTCCCGCAGTTGTTGAGGATTCAGGGTATTAAAAAAAGTGCTTGACATAGAGTAAGCACTATGTTAAGTACAGCACAAGCTAGCATCATCTGCACTTCAAACAGATTATCTTGGTGGCTAGCAGGGAATGTATCTGAAAGTAAAACCAGATATGCAGAGTAAGCTGGAGTCTGTCACACTAATCTGGAGGATGAATGCCCGCACCAAGACAAAAGTAGTTAGGATGACAGCGAGCAGAACTGCATGACTGATTTAAATGTCAATGAGGGACATGTAATCAAAGATATCAAAGCTGATTCTCAAGTGTCTGAGAAATCAGCACAGATTTGACCACTCTTCCACACAACAAAAGAGAAAAAGAGGGAACAAAAGCAGTCACTCTACTGTTTTTTTTTTTTAACTGAAACGAAGGTTTTGAAAAGATTTCCTTAAGTGATGAAAGGGTACTATACATTAATTTAGCAAATGTTTATTGAGTTTCTGTTACATACAATGCACCATGGCAGGTAAAATGCAGACTACAAAAGATGAAGACAACCTACCCTCAAAGAACTTGCTGTAACCGTCCTCTGGGAGATGGTATTTTACTACAAAAGAATGTAAAGCACTGCTCACTACACCAGAGACACAGCGCGCCGAGTTAGCGCAGATTGGGCAGGCATATCCGAGGTTAAAACTCTCCTCCTAAGTATTCAGACACGATCGTTCTCGCCGAGTTGACACCTGCACTGACCGTGGACCAGTGGAGGCGGGTGAAAATGCTGGCCCAACCGCACAAGTGGCACCCAACTGTCCCAGCACACACGGCGTTCCTCACCACTCGCAGAAAAAACGCAAAACCAGCAAAACTAGTTTTTCATAAGAATGCCTTTGATGAGGCGGCTAAAAGTATTAGTTCTCTTAAATCATGACCCCTGAGTACTTTAAATCATTGTGATGACACAGGCTACATACTACCAGTAAAGAATTTAACCTTGATCAGAGAGGTCTGGCCTTTGCCCTTGGCCCCTGGGAGGTCATCTCCAAGTCTCCTGGAATATCCTGCCTGATCAAAGTATCTTTGTTTACCAGGGAACCTTCCGCCACACCAGACAGTCTAACAGTGTGACTTAGGGTTGGGGCTTTGGATCAATTTGACCTCTGGTCTCAGGGGGGCCAGAGAGTGAGCTGTGTCTACATGAGAGAGCCCCAAGAAGATGCTGGACACCAAAGTTCAGGGGATCTTCTGTGGTTGGCAGACCATCACAAACTGTTGCTGGGAGAACTGAGCACCATCCACAACTCCACCAGGAGAGGACGACTGGAAGGTCTGCATTTGGAATTCTCCTGGACTTTGATCCATTACATCTCCTCCGCTGGCTGCTTTTAAATCTGCATCCTTTCCCTGCAGTAAACCATAACCATGAATACAACTGCTTTCAATGAGTTCTGTGAGTCCTACTGAATTGCTATACCTGAAGGTGGTCCTGGGGACCTCCCAACTTGCAATTAATATCAGAGTTGAGTATAGTCCTAGGTATCTAACTCTTTGTGTCTGAGGTAAAGTCAGCTCTGGGGGACGTCCCCAACTTCACACACAGATGAAGGACTTCTCCAAAATGAAATGCAATCATTTTGTTTTGCTTTGTTTTGTTTTCTCTAGTAAAAGCACTTGTGTTGAATATTTGAGTTGGATGCTTTTTTCAGTCGGCTACCCTTTTATTTGAAAGAACAACTAAAAGACAAACTTTGATTATACAGACTTTGGTATGTGGCATTTTGTTGAAAACAAAGAAAGTAAGCTTGTCACTTCAAGAAAACTGACAGTATTTGTTGCCAATGATAACATCTGAATTTTGGAAAACTCATCCACCACTGTGACCTTGACAGCTTTCCAAAACTTAAGGTCCTTTTTGGTGAAGTCACCAGTGTTTTAATGAATGTGATTTTTTAAAATAATTATTTAACAAAACACGCCAATACTTGAAAGATCTGTGTAATTCAGTGAACCAGTATCTCCAAATGACCAATGCATGATGTTAAATCAGTCCTGGTTAAAATATTCACTCCAAGTGTTAGACCAATCAATGATTTTAACATATGAAAAAAAAGTCACTGATGTAATTTTATAGTCTACGTTGCAATTAACTTTTAGGAAACTACTATCTTGTCAAGTTTTGGTACAGAATCAAAGAAAACCCACAATTATCTAAAAAGACCTTCAAATACTTCTACTTTTTCCAACTGTATGTATCTGTGAAAGCCCAGAGAGTCTTCATGTACTTCAACCAGAACATACAGTAATAGACTGGATGCAGAAGAGATGAGAACCCAGTCAAGTTCCATTCAACCAGACATTAGAGAGATCTGCAAATATGTAAAACAGTGTCACTCCTCACATTTTTTGTTTAGGGAAATAACTATTTTTCATTAAAATACTTATGATAATACTCAAAGGGATTATAATTTGTCACTTGCATATGAATGTAAATATTTAAAATTCTAAATTACTCATGCAGCTCTCTCTCTGGAGCTCGCCCGCTCTGGAGATCTTGTGAGTGTATTTTTCGCTTTAATAAACCTTCTCGCTTCTGCCTTTCAATAAATAGATATAACCCACATAAACAAAAGCTCTTGGTGACAAATACTAACTGCACTTATTGTGGTGATCACTTAGCAACATAAATATCAAATCATGATGTACACCTGAAACTAATATAATGTTTTAACTATTATACCACAAAAAAAAAAAAACTCCACAAAAAAATGCACAGAAGCTCTTTAAAATCCTCAATAATTTTTAAATGTGTAATGCACTCCTAAAGCCAAAACATATGAGAACCCCTGAGTTAGAAGATGGAGTCCAGCTTGAAGGACAAGAAGGAAACCCGCAGGGACAAGATAGAACACATACAATGACTTTAAATGTTTTAAAAAGCATGTATACAAATAACTATCCTCATCAGAATGATTAACTTAGGAAGTTACTCCAGCTGTTTACTCTTACTGTCACTCCTCAAGATATTTTAGAATTCTCTACGTGAGAATTCCTGATAAGAAAAGTATTCAAGAAAGCTTTATATTGGCATGACATCTGGACAGAGATGGTACTACCCCTCTTACCAAACTGGCTAACTGCATCTGATTTTCCACTCTTATTAAAAAATCAAATTCATTTTCAAAGGATGAAAACTTTCCACCATTGAGAATATTCAAAATAATGTTTTACAATGCCAAAGCAGTCTGTTTCTCTTTCAAATAAATAAATAGTAAAATCTTAAAAAAAAAAAAAAAAGAAAAAAAAGGGGGCGCCGGGGTGGCTCAAGTCATTAAGCGTCTGCCTTCGGCTCAGGTCATGGTCCCAGGGTCCTGGGATCGAGCCCCACATCGGGCTCCCTGCTCTGCAGGAGGCCTGCTTCTCCCTCTCCCACTCCCCCTGCTTGTGTTTCTGCTCTCGCTGTGTCTCTGTCAAATAAATAAAATCTTAAAAAAAGAAAGAAAGAAAATACTCTAAAAATCTGACATAACCTATTATAGAAATTAAAATTAATGATGTCCAGATTTAAGGAATGAACGGAAAGAAGCCAGGTATAATCAATCTGGAGTTTCTGAAGGGCAGAAAAGAGTTTGTTAAAAGGAACCCAAGTTCTGCTAGACAAGACACTTTAACCCTTTTAGGGAAGATTAACAATCTGAGCTTGGTGAGGGATTTCTCTTGATTCTCTCAGCAATCTTTCTGAGGCCAAATTTCCTATTTCGAAAAGAAGGCACAGTGGACACAACAATTTTAGCCTATTTGGCAGTTTCACTAATATTGTTAATTAATAGATTTTACATTTGGTTTGTAAATGAGTATCTGCTAGGTTTTATCATAACAATAGCCATCAACTAATAGCTACTATTTGTGCTTACTGTGGTTATCAGCAGTACATAATTTATATACATTATATCTTTTAGTTGTTACACTAGCTCTATTTGTTATCATTCTGTTTTTCAGATGAGAAAACTAGTGGATGCCAGAGCCAAGATTTAAGAGATCTCTTATGGCTCCCAAAGCCTGGAGAGTTCTGTGCTCCACTACCTCAGAGTCAGTATCACCGAGACTAATCAAGTCTGAGTACAGAGATGAAATGGTTTTTGGACCTACTAAGCTGACGATCAAACCGGTCCAAACCGGTCCAAGATCCCGTCCAGGCAATTACCTGGTCTCTTTCAACCATCTCTGTTAGTACTCCCTCCAACAGCAACAAG